TAGTTATAATAGTGAAAAAAGTCTGTAACAAATTAACTGCGCGGCTTTTCTCATATAATAAACTTTATGAAATGGACAAAGTCCGTCAATTATTTTAAGACATTTTTAATGTTTATACATTCTTTTTATACATACAAATATTGAAGGAAATGTTCTGTTTTATAATAAACAATATTAAACAACATTTACCGGCCTGAATATCCGAGAAATTTTCATAGAACATATTCGTCCCCCAACAGGAATCAAACCTGTATCCTATACGGAACCGTCACAGAGCCTGACGTGCTTTTAACAGATTGGGCTATTTATGAGACAATTTGTTCGGATAGCAAGGTCGATTTTATTTCTTTAAACTACAAGTTTCCATGATTATCTCACGGACATTTATATCTACTCATGGCGTATCCAAATTTAAACAAATGATGTCACACATTATTAAATGGACAAAGTCCGACAATTATTTTAAGACGTTTTTCTGTTTATACATTCTTTTTATAGATACAAATATTTAAGTTTTGTTTTCGTCTCAATTTCATGGTCTTAGTTATTTCTTTTTTTATCCCTTATTTCCCCTTGGCCATTGGTTTGTTCAATTACAAGCCAAAATACCTACGGTTTTTCTAAACGAGTATAACTATTTATATTATTATAATGGCACATCAATCTAAATGACGGTTCCGTATAGGATACAGGTTCGATTCCTGTCGGAGGACGAATATTTTCTATGAAAATTTCTCGAACATTCAGGCTGTTAAATGTTGTTTAATACTGTTTATTATAAACGGAGCATTTCTTAAGTCTTTGTATCTATAAAAATAATGTATAAACATGAAAATGTCTTAAAATAATATGGCTTTTTTCATTTCAAATATCTTCCCGAACATTTTCGGACTAAATGGTTTTTTTTTTTTTTTTATCTGGTTTTTAATGAGGTACGCTCAAGCCTTCTTCAGGTGTTTGGAATGTCGAACTGAACCCTTTATTTCGCTTGCTGGGGTAACTGATCTGGTTCCACGTGCAATGTCTAATGGATGTCAGTTATCAGTTATCTCCTGTTAATTCTCCTTTGCAAGTTCTCCACTGCCTTAACCAGGTATTGAACTCACACTTTTTGGGTCCTGTCACTGGATCTAACTAACGCCTTATCCACTGTGTTTTGACTTTACCTTTTTCTTTATAAACTTGGATGTTTGTGTTTAATGGTAATGGAATTTTTTAACACAGGGGGATGATTTACAAAAAGTTTTTAAAAAATAATCATTAATTAAAAAGTTTTTTTTTTCCGCAGATTTTTAAAAATCAAATTTTCTCAACCTAAAATTATAGTGCTCCAGATAACCAATCACACCCAATTGTTGATCGCTTGCTAGTTGATTTCATACACATTCATTACAAGAAAATCGAAAATATAATCTTCTGCTTCTTCATGAAACGCGAAAGCATTAATTTTCATGGAGACATCTACGATTGTAACCAGAGACTGCAACTACCAATGAACCTGATCAAAATTACAGTGGTCACACATCGCTATCGCATTTTTATTGTTACGCCCACTAATCAATAGTAACTTAAACAGTCGCGCATGGCAACCTCATCAAGACAGTGGATTTAAATTAATTGCTCAACCCACCTTGACAATTAATGATCTAACGCAATCACCATTGAAGTTATTTGCAATTCAAGAACTCATTATTCTGGGTGGTTCATTCTCAAATTCTTTAATTTCTATTTTCAGTTTTATATTATCACTCACTCTCTTGAACCTCTTAAACATTGCTTTCCCCTCTTTCTTCACTGATAAGATTAATTATATGATGACGGACTAGAAAACCAAAAAAACCACTAGTATTTTTTTTACATTATTCATTTTAAATTCCTCATCTTTATAAGCACTATTTATCACAATTTTCGGTCCTTCAAAAATTAAAATTCTGAGATGAGAAGAATTTGTATATTTTTTAAATTATTCGGCAATATTATCCTCAGTTTGTCGCCATATATTTGAATTAACAACGTTTCGGTCCTTCAGTATCGGTGTATATTTCTGAAATGAGGTATTTTTCGACACTATTAATATTATTCGAACTATTGTCCTCATTTTTGTCGCCATATTTATCACAAGTTTAGAAAGAAGTATAAAGAAAATATTTCTGAGATGAAGGTATTATGTACGCTATTTATATTATTCGGACTATTGAAAGAACCGAAATATAGTTCTAAATCAACAAAAAAAAAAAACATAAAAGATTATTGCTTTTGGTTTGGTTTATTTTGTTTAACGGCATATCAACCTCAATTTTTTATTTAACTAATATTTTTTAGTATATATTTATGAATAGAAATGTATTCTTAAAGATTCGTTTGGTTTATTTTCTTTAACGGCATAATCAACCTCAATAGGTCCATTTAATGGCGACAACATTTTTACGATATATTTATGAATACAATATGTATTCTTTGGTTTAGATTGGACAGTTTATTTTGATTTACGTCAAAAAATACCTCAATTGATGACTTAATTCAAACAACAAATTTTAGGATAGATTCGCATGAAAGAATATGTATTCTTTTGAGGAAATTGGTTTGCTAAGTTTGGTATCAACGTCAATGGGTTATTTAATGCCGACAACATTTTTTATTGCTGGTAATATTTTGTTTTGATAAAAACTGCTTCTATAAAAACTTTCAAAATTGTAATGGAAATAGATTTTTTCAAAAAAAATTGCTGTTAATAGTTAACTATGGGCCCATGCGAAGAACCCTAAGAAGGTGCTACCACCCAAAATAGGGGTGGACCTGGGAAAGTCAATTAAATAAAAAAATGCTCCTCAAAACATCTTTGTCAAAATCTTGCAATGGACGTAGTTTATCGTCTTACCCAGGACGCGGATGCAGTTTAACGTCTTAACCAGGACGGTGTGTGTACAATCATCGTGTGTGTAGCGTCGTGTGTGTGTCAGTGCATATATGTGTGTGTGTGTGTGTGTGAATACCAGATGGTGTGCGTGCGTGCGTGTGGATAATAGAATTGTTAATCGATTAGCCGGGTTACAATTCCAGTTGGTGTCGTTAAATTCCTGTACACGCAAATACCTTTGGAAAACGTAAGAGTCCACTTCTTAATTAGTAAAACTTGTATAATTAAACAATTATTATCTCATTTTTTTTTTTAAATGTTTACTATCTAAAAATATTTCCTGGCTTTGAATAGCCTGCAGAGTTGATAAGCCGTAGAAAACGATTCCATCAAATAATATTTATTTTATCTTCACATTTGGCTCTTATCTGAAAACAAGATGGCTAACTCTCCCATTTTCTTTACTTTCATTTTATTCTGTTCGTCTGGCTTAATTTTGCTTTTTTTTCCTCCATATTCTTTATCTCTGTGATTATGGTATAAGGAAATATGCGTGCTTTTGGGTTCGTTTGTCTTATTGTTGACAATATTTAATTCTGTAGACAATATCTGAAAACCACTTTTCCGAACTCTGATATTCATCGGTTTTGGAATGGTAAGGCCTATAGACAAGCTGAATATTATCCGTAGAAGAATTAGCAGACCAAAATACTGTTTTCAAAGAATAAACAAAGAGAGATAACTCTAAATGTCTAGCTAGTAGGAGTATTAAGTTTCGAGTGAGGGGCGTGGTTTGAAACAAAGCCGTTGGGGTATTATAACGTTCACTCTTCCCTAACAGACGTAGTGGACGACAGCAGAAGCTGATTACTTAATAAATGCCATGTTTTGCACCAAACATGATATTTAGTATACAGGCGGCAGCCATGAAAAAAAAAACCTGGTTTTCACTATTTTCGTTTATGAGTATTTCGTATAAGAAATTTTGTTTGGGTATTCATTTGAAATAAGACAAAGCTATTAGATAATTACGTTAAATATTACTGTTACTAAACGCTAATGTGGATAATTTGTATTTTCTTTCGAAATTGTTATTTTGTGAATATTATTAATGTATCCTTATCTAGCTACGAAAATCAGAATCATTGACGAAACCGAAACTTGGAAATAAATGTTATTGTATTTACAGAATGTGCCTAAAGGTTTATTCTTTCGTAATTACTCAGAGAAAATATTATATTCTTTGAGTAGCCATGAACTATCGATTATCACTTTCTTTGTAGCATCAATTATGACAATATTGTCAAGGGATTTTACGGAGTTGTAAATACGAAGAGAATGTCTAACAGGATATTATTGGCTTCCTTCTGGCGTGATTTTAAAATGAGATTCTAAATCTATTATCGTTGTCGGCTCACAATACTTGCTAAGAATGGCTCATAATAATTTGTAATATGAAAAAACATGGCGCATTATATTCATGTTTTTGTAAAATCAATGGAGTTTAAATTACAACAGCTGCCTTTTTCGAGATTATCCACAACTTCCCGTCCCTTGCATTTTTAAGCGATGCTTGACTCTTTCCCGCCCATCTGTTCCCAGTCTGTCATCCATTCACAAGCATATTCGATGTGTTACTCTATTTGCATCAGCACTTATGTCATGTGAATTCTAAATTCTCCAAGGCATCATTTCTCATTACGTTTTTAAAAAAAAGTTTCCTATATGGGATTATTTTTAAGAAGAGGTATATTTTTTATACTTCCAATTTTCTTTAAAATTCCCACGTTGATTGTATTTTCAATTGATGATAGTTTCAGGAAAATCGCTGTCTACCAAACATTTAAAAAAAAAAGGCTCTTTTAGGCAGGTTAGTTACTACTTTCCTGTCTTAATATTACATATTTTCTGTAAGTATCAAATTCTCCAAGGCCACGTTACTAATTAAGTTCTAGAAATTTCATTTATTTCTTTTTTATTACAAGTGTGTATGCTTCCATTTTCTTTAAAAAAAAATAATTGGTACTCATCTGTTCATTCCATGGTATTATCAATGTCTTTCTAATATTTCAGTTCCACTTTGCATTTGAGTGAATTTTCCAACACTTACAGTCACATAACAGGACTAATATTACACAGCATTTTAGCACTTCTCAAGAAAAGAAATTAGAAGAGAGATAAGCATAGAGGGGGAAATAAAGATTAAAACGATGAGAGAGAAACGACCAAAGAGAGAGAGAGAAAGAGACAGCAACGAAAAAGAGAGAACGACAGCGACGAGAGGGAGAGAATGACAGAAAAATTCGGAGAGGGAGAGAAAAAAAACTAGATAAAAAAAGACCGAGAGAAAAAAGAGAGAGAGAGGGAAAGAGACGCGGGAGAGGGAGACAGAAATACTTTGAAGACGGGATTGACACTGAGAAGAGAGATTTGATGTCAGTGTTAGAGAGAAAAAAAAAAAGACGAAAACCGAGATAGAGATTGCGAAACCGAGAGAGGAATGGTGAAACCGAGAGTGACAGAAGGAAAAATTCTGACTTAGAGAAAATGACAGAAGATGAATTTCAAGAGAGAGAGAGAGAAGATTAAACCAATAGAGAGAGGAAGCGAAACCGAGAGAGATAGAGAAGGCAAAACCGCGAGAGAGAGAAAGCGAATCCGAGAGAGGGAGAGCGAATCCGAGCGAAAGAAAGCGAGACTGATGGAAAGAAAGTGAAGCCGAGAGGGAAAGTGAGAGAGAGAATAAGAAATCGAAATCGAGAGTGAGAGAAAGAGGAAGCAAAACAGAGAGAGAGAGAGAGTGAGATAGAGAGAAAACGAATCCGATAAAGCGAAATTTTAGAGAGAGAGAGAAAGCGAAACTGGAAGAGAAAGAGATAAAGAAAGCGAAACCGGGTGAGGGAGAGAAAATGAAAGCGAATGAAAGAGAGAGAAAGCGAAAGCGAAAGAGAGAGAGAGAGAGAGAGAAAGCCAAACACCGAGTGAGAGAGAGAAATCGCAGGTGAAAGAGAGGGAAAACGAAACAGCGAGAGAGAGGGAGAGAGTGAGTGAAAGCGAAACAGTGAGAGAGAGAAAGCTTACATAGACAGCGGTGCGATCATGAGTAAACAAAAAATCCCTGCATAGGTTTATTATTGGCGAACACAGGCTTAAGGAAATGCATGCTGATGAAACAGTGTTGATAGTAGACAAAGAAAGCAAGGTGTCGGAACACTTAGAGAAGATAATAAACGATAAGCGAGAAGAACTATTTATACATCAACTGCAAGACGACAGAATATATGCTTTTCAACCAGAATAACAGACTACAATACGAACAACGAATTGGAGATATTAAAAATCAAGTAGGAACATTTAAATATCTGGGAAGTGTCTTTTTAACAAAGAACAGAGAATGTGACCCAGAAATCCGAAGTCGGATTGGAATAGCAAAATATGCTTATCAAAGAATTAAACTGGAAAATTCGTTATAAGCCAAAGTAAGAATGCTTAACTGCTATCTAATATAAAATCTCCTATGTTGCAGTGAAAGTTGCACTTCAGAGATGAAAAAAAAAGACGTAAGGTAGGTACCACGCCGAGATCGCTAAAAAAAGAGCATAGCATAATGAAAAAGACGCCAAACTTGACGAAAATTTTGTTTTCGTCAAGTTTGGCGTCTTTTTTCATTAAGAATATGCATTTTAAAAGCGATTTTTACCTACTAAAAACACAGATGTTCTACAGAAAGATGAGATTAACATGAACTGAACATATGTGTAACGAGGAAGTTTAAATATAATAAAAAACAAAACAGGCGCTTATTCTTACAATCAGAGACAGATGAATTTTCTAAGATATGAAGAAAGCCGGTTTGATGAATTTTAAATTCCCAGGACATATGGAAGGCTGATGAGGGAGTCAGGGGGATAGTGTAAAGACAAACCTTACTAAGAACTACTAAGATAGGAATCTGTGGAGATCCATGGTCACGCACGTCCTGAAATTTCTCGGTATAAAAGAATAAAAAAAGAACAAGCAGTTTTTAATCTGACTGAGAATTAAGAATGCATAAAAAACGGAGTGAGACAAGGTTCGATTTCTTACCAAATTTCTTTAATCTGTTGAGCCGATTGGCAAGAAGATACAGATTAATTTTCTTTGGAAATGCAAAGCATAACAACGCAGATGACAGTGTGTTCATAGCAGATACTGAAAGAAATATGAAAGAATTTTGTGGCATGTTAGTTGAGAAAATGAAGTGAAAAAAAATACATGTATACAGACAGTTGCATTTTAAAATCCGACATTTGACAAAAAAAAACTAAATAAAAAGAAAAAACAAAAGTGAAATATGCAAAATTTTGACAGTTTATTTAGCAATAGTTAGATTTGCATACTACATTATTTTTCAATGTAACCACCGCTGGCGGCGACGACTATCTCAATCTTTTTTTTATTGTCCTCTCTCCTTAATAGTTTTCTCAAACTGTCTAACATTTTATTTGTGGCTTTATTGTCTTGCTTGGTGTGAAATGATTTTAAAAAAATGTTTATTATAATAATAGGTGTCGCAATATAACAAATCCGAAGCCACTTCAAATCAGGAAAAACATACTAAGGAATCGTAAATTGTGCTTAGACAGTGAAGAGTGGTTGATTTATATTTAAATTTAATTTTTTCTAAATGACATAACACATGACATATATATATATATATATATATATATATATATATATATATATATATATATATATATATATATATATACGTTGCCCGTGCTTGATTCAAAAATCATACGACTCATACAGCACTCCCTGTCACTTGACTTAAAATATATTTGCCCTTCCTTGCCTTTAAAGGAGTGCCCTTTGTCGTGCTGATGTTGCTACATGCCTTACTTCTTGCCTATCTCACACTGTTAATTTTTCTCAGATCTATACTAAACATTAAATCTGTTACGAAAAAAGAACTAAACAAAATGAACACAAAACGATCAGCTTTAAAAAAGGATTCGTAACTGGAATAACCGAATGAAAATAGAATGTTAACAACAGATACTTTTTCACACCCAACCCAGTTCTGCGGAATCAGAATCAACGCTAAGTTTAAGCAAGCGAATGAGCCAATTGGAATAAAGTGTCATGCAGATTTAATTTTTTCCCACTTGTGACGAATACAGTTATCGATGTTTTTTGCATGCTAGCTAACATTCGTGTCAGTAAGTTGTTGCTTCTCACGCTGGCCAATAGAATCTTCCTGCCTATTCGTGGCAGCCAGCTATAGGCTCTCACTCTAGCCAGTAGAAAATGGCCGCAAGCTACATGAAAATTGCCGTAGAAGCATGAAAAAATCAATCATTTCCCGAAGCGATGGGAGTTGGGAAATGCAAAGTCGGTCTTGGCCTTCCCGCTAAATTGGAGCATGTGCATATAAATTTTGGTGCAAATCCGTCGAAAATTGTGGTCGTGCATTCGTTACACACACACACACACACACACACACACACACATACATCCTGCCTTTTATATATATATATATTTTCTATTGGAGTGTGACGTCCCTAAACACAGCCTTCCCTCGCTCCTCGCTGCTTCGTTCGGGTGTCGCCGCTCCAAACGTGACGTCCGCCTGTCGCGTCAGTCGTGTTGTCTCGTCCTGTGACGACCAATTGGCTTGGTATCGGTCGCGGCACCCAAATGTGACGTTCTAACCTTTTGGTGATTCGGATGGGAGTCTGGTTAGATTCGATATCAGCCTCGTCGTTCCCAACTCGCTTCCAACGTCTGGTTACCAAAGTAACTGCATTGATCTCCAGTCTGCCTACCCACGTTGTGAATTGATCTTAAGCAGACGAAATCAATCAGTAGTTGGGGCCGTAATGCAAATCGGGTTCAAACGGTGGTGACACCGCACAAATATGCATAAAAGAAAATAAAATGATAACTCAAAAATTCAAGGTATCAAAAAAAAGGATAACAAACTTTATGTCTAGTTGTTAGATACATAGGACTGCGTCTATCTCTCGACCCGTTCTATGGATTGTGACACGTTGTTTTCCGTTAGGCGAGTTTTAACGCTTCAAGTTGTTTTGCTCTTTTAGAAATTGGTTTTTCGGTGTGTCTTCGGGCGAAAGTCGAAAAAAACTTATTTTGGTGGTCTGGATCTAAGTCGCTCTTCAAAATAATTGTTCTTGGATTGAAGAGGAATCCGGAATTTGCGCGAATCTTGGTCAGCCAATGCGAGGCTGGAACTCTCTGCTGGAACTGTCTCGAACTGAACTAAACCCAACTGGAACTGAACTGGAACTGTCTGATTTCTGCTCGCTGCGACTTTGCTTATATGGACGCCGACCAAAACCGGGGTGGGTTTGTCGGCGGCAGGGGTTCCTCGATAATTCTAAATACATATCCACTTCTCTTATTTTTGGTTAGGAATTTTCCCTTTTTTTCCATTTTTGGGAGCCTTTCTCTTACTCCCACCTTCTCACCATACTTCAGAGGGGCGTGAATTTCCCTCCCCACTTCTTCGTGGCAACCTCTCATACCCATCCTCTAGATGGGCGGCGACAGCTTCCTCCTTGCGTCACGTGATCACCACTCGACCAATGATGTCTAGTCGGGCGTGTACGATCCCGCGGCTTTGTTTCAGGAAAAAAAAATATCTTCCTGAACAAAAAAAAATTATCTTTATTATTATTCATTCTTTGGTACACATTTCTGATAACATAGTTTTATTATCGCAGGCTAAAGATGTTCTGTCGAAAGAAAACGGTCAGTCGCCACCTCGTGTAAAATTTTCGTCAAATTAATTTTTCATATCTATCCAAAGCCCTGTAGTCCACTTGTTTTTTGTCAATTATCAAAACAACATTTTCAATTGGATTTTTCTTTGGCTAGTCGGTCTGTGGTTTGCTTATCAGATGCCTTCTCGCATTAGCGGTTTGTTTATGTATCCCCGATAACACCAGCCCGTCGCCAGAACACACCTGATTCCCTTATCCACTGAGAATTTTTTTTGCCATTGTAATGACACTCTTCGCCATTTGTTACTTATCAAAATATCCTTTATCCATTGTCTCTTAGTCGTGGGCGTTCTACTTATCATCCACGCTTTGGGTCTCGCCTCTCTCTTCCTTTCTTTCCTTTCTTTTCTTTTTTTTGCCTCGGTAAATGGTGGCACAGGAGGCAGGACATGAAAGACGATTTATAACTCCGTCTTTACGTTTTCACTTCACTGGCAAAAAAACAATTTAAGCGTAAAATACCTTTTTTCAAAAAAAATAACAATATGAAACCAAATAAATTATTTTAAAGCAAGTAATTAATTTCTGATTTAAAGAAAAATAATTACTTGTGTTAATTTGATGAAACACATAGACAATATATCTATTTTAATAAATAGTGGAATGTCCATCCTATAATTATTTTCTCTTTAAAAAAAAAATAGCTTTGGAAATAATTCCCTCCAACCATCTGGAAGGACACTTCAAAATCTCATTCGGCAAAGAAGAGACCTCCAGTCATATTCTTGAGAAATCTAGAACCCCTGAGATGAGAGAATTCCTTCTTATCTGAGAAGGATTATTTATAATTTGAAAATCGATCATTAAAATTGTTTGACACAAAATGTATGTTCTTAATATTGGTCTTAAAGAACATTTGCTGCCTATATACACATACTCCTGTTTCTTGTAACTATAATTAATTCTTGTTCCATAACTGTTCCTTTTAGAATGTACCAGCGTAAAAAGAGTATTCTAGATCTCAGGTCCAGAATTGTATTTAGGGATGTAGATTCTAATACCATTTTCCGTGATGTATTCTATGTATATGTTTGCCCTCATCCTCTAGATATCTGGCTAATCCCATTCCGAAGTGTGTTCTTTGTGTATAGAAAGTCAGCATGTCCCTCAGGTTATATATTGGCATACTGATCCGATCTCCAAGTCAGTCTGTCCCTGACTAGCGTTAGTAACCGTCGTTAACCTTGCTGAACAAACTCACCACGTCCAGTTTCACCATCTAGTTGGATTGGATGGAAGCACCTTTGATTATTTATATGAGGTGGAGTGACTTTTCTAATAATGGGTAATTTATATTTACAAGAAAGCGATTCGGAGGATGGTACACAGAGCCTTGACAGCTAACAATCGGCCTGAGCGGAATACCCTTTTGTAAATTTTGGGAAGATCGTATATGTGATGCACCTTGGTGTAACGCTGCGACAACTCCCTGTATGTCTTAGATGAGAAGTGACCCTTGTTCCAAACACCTGAAGAAGGCCGGAGCGTTCAACGGTCGTAACGTTGTAATAAATGTGGCGACAAAGATTATGACAATACTCCAAATAATGTAAATAGTGTACATAATACCTCATCCCAGAAATATAGACAGATAGTGAAGGGCCGAAACGTTGTGATAAATATGGCAACATAGATGATGACAATAGTCCGAATAATGTAAATACTGTACATAATACCTCATCTCGGAAATAAAGACAGATACTGAAGGGCGGAAATGTTGTAATAAATATGGCGACCAAGATGAGGATAATAGTCCAATTAATGTTAATAGTACCTCAATGGTTAATGCAGACAAAATGTTTACTTCTGGTAATATTTTCCTTCAAAAATCTATTTCAGGTAATATTTTTAATCTTTTCATAATATATTGCTGATAATATTTTTCAAAAAATATAATGCTGGTGATATTTTTTTAATGTATTGCTGGTAATAATTTTTCCTTCAAAATTCTTTTGCTGGCAATATGCTTTTTTTTTATTCTTACAAAGTATTTCTGGTATTAAATCCCACTTTTACACTTTCATAGTATTTTTCACTTTGGGAATTTAAGAGATTTTTTTTTCTTGTCCGATTTATTTTTAGTAGTTGAAGTGTCCATACTTACTATGCTCTTCATTATATTAGCGCTTTGTTTCTTTTCATATTTTGTTCTTTGAAAGTCTTTTGTTTTGTTTGTGTTTTTGATCGGGTTTCTTCAGATGTTCCATTAGACTCTTTTGATGGTCTTTGGATGATGACCATTCCTTTGTCTGAGATGGGATAGAGTTTTGTTCATCTATGTCCATTTCTTTTGGTTCTTCAAGGATGTACTGGGTTGATTTATTTTTTATGCACTTTTTGATTCTCTTGGGAATGTCCAGACAGTTCTATTTCTTGAAGAGTTTTTGTACTTTGGATTGTGATTTTCGGAGTTAATTGTTTTGTACATATAGATTCTTTTTGTTTGTAGTTGAAAGGATAGGAATTGTTTTGCCTATGGAAGTTTAATTATATGTAATATACTACATTTTAGTAGTTCGATTATTATCCATTTATTAGCATTGAAAGATCTTGGATTCTTATTGCATTTTTCTCTTGGATGTCATTTTGGTGATTTGATATTTTAGCGATATTTCCATATGATGTTTGGGAGTGAATAAAATGTTTTGCGTGTATTTTATTCTTATTATTTCTTTTTTCCAGATGGTACACTCTTTAGAGTTTGCTGATTATTTTTTGGGGGTGGGGATATAAAGGAGGGTCTTTCACAGGGTGACTCTTCATGATCAGACACAAGTTTCCCACGTTTCGGCCGTTTTACGCTCCGGCGTTCTTCAAGTGCTTAGAATGTCGAACTGAATCGTTTATTTCAAGGACACATGGCACAATGGATGAAGGCTTTAGTTAGATCAAGTGACAGGACCCAAAGTGTGCGAGTTCAATACCTGGTAAAGGCGGTGTAGAACTTGTAGAGGGGAATTAACAGTAGATAACTGATAACTGACATCCATTATAAATGGCACGTGGAACTAGAACAGGCCTCTGATCGGAAGGTTTTGAGGAGTGTGGAACCACCTCTTAATTTGTGTTGTTCCAGGTCCACCATGACCCGCGGTGGTAGCACATGTTAGGGTAACTGCTATGGGGAAATAGTTTCCTCCTTCCCCCAAAGCGACGTCTGAATACTTGTTGCAAGTGAATAAAATGTTTTGCGTGTATTTTATTCTTATTATTTCATTGGACTTTTTCCAGATGTTACACTCTTCAGAGTTTGCTGATTTTTTTTTTGATTTTTTTATGTTTGGATATAAAGGAGGGTCCTTCTCAGGGTGACACTTCATGATCAGACACAAGTTCCCCACATCTTCCACAGACTGATGCTCTCGCACAAAGATTTTGTAGATGACCAAATTTATGACATTTGTGACATCTATGGGGATTAGGAATGTATGCCTCTATCTTGACAACTAAGTATCCTATCTTTATTTCTTTAAGCAGAGTTGGTTTATTGAATGTCAAAATGTATGTGTTTGTGTTTATTGATGTGCTATTTCTTTTTATTTGTATTATTTTGATGTCTGTTACTCCTAGATTTTTTAAGGTGTCATTTCTAATTACTTCTGCTGAGCAGAGTGACAGCTCTGGGAATTTTATTACTTCCTTAGATGAATTAAGAAATTGGTGGGGTTAAGCCTTTTACTTTATTGTCGTCTATTTGCTTTGTCTTTGGTAATTTTTCTGCATCGTTTTTTGGCTTTTTCTTGAATTACAAGTGCATTATATATTTTTAATTTTTTTTTAGAGATTTTCGTTCAATCATGGCCGATATAACCCTTTGCAACACAAAAGGAGACACTTGACATTTCACCATCTAGTGATTCGATAACTAAAGTTGGAAATTTTTCTTGTAATATTTCGTTTTCACTTTCACTTTCAGAAGTCTTATGTTGTCTCTTGCTTCGTTTATAAGAGATAGAGATATAATTTTGAATTTTGTATTCACCGTCTATGTTCCCCTCCCACTTCCTTCTTAAAGGGCGCTATCAAGAGGGACTAATCCCATCCACTCTGACCCGCCAGACCAACGCAGAGGGTATAGCTGTGATGAAAGTAGATACGAGCGCCCGCATTCTCCCACCATATCTACCCAATTATAAAATGGTGCAAGGATTCAGAGCCGTGTCGGGGCCACTATCTATGATCCCAAATAGCCCTTGCCACTATGTGACTAGCCGATTGGAATGGATTCGGCTATTCCATCCGGCCGTCTATCCCAGGTAGGGAACAAAGTGACGTGTTGTGGATGCTCTTGGTCATTTCATACCGGATTAGGCGTCACTCAGTCACTAGTACTCCGTTCTCAAGCAACACAGGTCGCCTGTCACGGCAAACAGGTGGCCCTATTGACGGGATTTTTTATTTTTTGCAATCGGTTTTTGTGAGATTTAATATATTGCAATTTTTATAGCTCGTATTATTATAAAAACCTATCTTTTCACTTTCTTAGTATTCAGACGTCGGTTCGGCGAAAAGAGGAAACTATTTACCCAGAGAATTTACCCTAATATGTGCTTCCATCACGGGTCATGGTGGACCTGGAACAACACAAATAAAGAGGTGGTTCTACACTCCTCAAAACTTGCGGCTGGATACAGCTTATCGTCATACCCAGGACAGAGACAGCGTTAGTAGGGTAACTGAAGTTCCAACATTGTAGACCCACAGCATGACTCGAAGGTTTGTCAACCCCCAGCAAAAAAATGCCCTTCTAATTCCAGGCTATTGTTATTTCGGAATATCTCCTAATTATCTTAACAACTAAACTATGTTGATTCCTCTAACCTCCATACGTCCAACAGAAATGCCTTTTGAATAATAAAAAAATACTTCGTTTCCCTGAAGATGATCTTTACACTGACAATTAACCAGACACAAAGAAAATATTTTCACTGCATTTCGTATTACCTCACTATGTTTTTTTTTTTTTTCATAGCCGTACACCTTTTACTTTCTTTTGGATTCCACGGCCGCATCACGTTGAAAAACTGGATCATGTACTATCACTAAATTTAAGAAACTTTGAACCTGGTTGAACCTGGTCAGTACCTATATGGGTGACGGTTTGGGAATAATTGTCGCCATATCTATTACAACGTTTCATCGCAGCAGCCCCCAAAAACTGAGATAGGCGGATACAAGAGGAGGACAACAATACTCAGAAAACAGTCTGCCTGTCGTATGTGAAGGGCTTATCAGAGAAAATACAAAGGATCTGCGGTCCATATAACATCAGGACAACCTTCAAAAGCTTGACGACACTTCGCAGATATCTCTCCCGAATAAGATCCCCCATAGAGGAGAACATGACTAATGACTGTGTGTACGCTATTTCGTGCAGCTGAGGAAAGAAATATAAAGGAGAGACAGGCCGCCCCCTTAAGGTAAGGCGTCAAGAACACAAGAAAGATGTAACACGAGGGGAAGTGGAAAAATCAGGCGTGGCTGACCACATATGGAGAGAAAAAGCCCTCTGTGGGATCAGGCCGAGATAATAGACACATTGGAATATTCGTAAATTTAAGGTACCAGCACATATGCTAGACCACAAAAATCTCCTGAGCCGACCTAGCATAGAAATGAATACAATATGGGAACCAGTAATAAGGCGTGCCAGAGAAAAGCGATAATAACAACGAAAATTACAATATGAGCTCTGGTAAAAAAAAATGCAATGATAACAGCAAAAATTGCAATATGAGCACTGGTAAGAATGGTATGAAGATATTGGGTTTATAATACCTAGGAATTTATACACAGATATTCTCAAGGACACATGGCACAGTGGATAAAGCGTTAGTTAGATCCAGTGACAGGACCCAAAGAGAATGAGGCGGTTAAGGCGGTGAAGAACTTGGAGAGGGTAATTAAGAGGAGGTAACTGATAAGTGACATCCATTAGACATGGCACGTGGAACTAGAACAGTGTACCCCAGCGAGCGAAATGAAGGGCTCAGTTCAACATTCCCTCCATCTGAAGAAGGCGGCAGCGTACAACAGCTAAAACATAGTAATAAATATGGTAACAAAGATGAGGACAATAGTTCGAATAATGTAAATAGTGTACATAATACTTCGTCTCAGAAACATAGATACGGAAGAGAGGGCTATTTAAGGTTTTGCTTGTTTTTATACCCCAGATCTGCTTCTGTTGCTAGATTTATTAAGGGCTGCTACTCCTTCTATGTTTATTAAAGCGCTACACTAGAAAAGTAAAATGTTCATTAGTATGGTTTTCTGTTTTGTCTATCCGAATATAGATTTAAATGACTTGCGAGCTCTTTTCAAAAGTTTAAAACAGTTATTATCTTCAGTTCTTCAGGAATGTTCCATGTGCTCCTTTCATGATAGGTAAAACTGCCAACTAACAGTAACTATTTCATTTATTTATTTTTTACCAGCACTAAAGTTCAGGTGTCTTCCACATCTTCACTTCATTTCCGGTTCATAATAAATGATTTCATTTCGTCAATAATTGTTAATATATTCTAATTATGTTTTCACGTCAATAGTAAATGGTATATTTGGATGATGTTAAATAAAAAACAATATGTCTCTGTAATTTTCGAACTGCAATGTTCCATGTACTTTCATTTTGCGAAGGACTAGAAAAATGGCGTCCAAGGGCTTTCTTTCTTACGATGCCTATAGATTAATGACCTGGATTAGATAAACCGTTTCAATTTTGTATGATGACCGGCAGTTTTTTCTTTCTCCTGTTTCGATTTTAGTTTCTTCTGTCTTTTCTGTCTTTCTTCGTCTCTGCCTCCTCCTCCTCCTCCTTATTATTATTATTATTATTATTATTTTATTTCCTTTGATTTCTAATGTTTATATTTCGTTCCGGGTCCCGCCCAGAGACCTAAGGTTAGAAATTGCATCATGACATTTTCCATTGGAAAAATAAATTACAAAGACAAAGCCTTTCGTAAGGCGTGGGCTGTAATCGTGAGAACAATTTTGTGTATTTCTTCAAGGCATGGTCTTCCAGGAATCCCTTCAATTAGTCTACTGGAATCATTTCCAACCAATCCTAGTCGTTCAACTACAACAGGGATTGTTGATATTCCAATATGCCACATTTTTGAGATTTAGATTTCAAGGTCCTTGCATTTTGATAGTTTTTTGAACATCTTGAAAGATACATCGCAGCGACTGCCATATCAATAAGGAGGCAATTTTTGTCTACGATATCTAATAACAATATCCGGGCGGTTAGCTTTGATTGTTCTGTCTGTGTGTATTGTGTAGTCCCATAAAATTATAACAGGTCCTATCTCCCATAAACGGGTCTGGGTGGTCTTGAAGTTGCAGATTTTCCAATGCAGATATTGGCCCACTCTGTCATGCCGGGTTTTATATTCAGTGGTTGCCAATACGGTGCAACCTGATACAAGATGATCGATTGTTTCTGGGTAATTATCACAGAACCTGCATTTTGGGCCAAAACTATATTTTAGTATGTGTGCTTGATAATTTCTAGTTAACAAGCACTGATCATGTGGGGCAAGGATTCATTTCAGCTTTTTAAACCTGCACTACGTAGCCACTGATGGGTGCGGGGCTTGTCTATATCAGCCTGTTTGGCACGGGCAGAGTATTCAGATTATTATTATTATTATTATTATTATTATTATATCCTCGTTCACCTTTATCACAGGAGATCATATTATAAGTCGTTGCATTACATCAGTATTTATTCTCATGTTTTGCGGAATCTCGTAATACGGTTGCCTCTAAACCCATCGAGCTTCCGCCATTCAGCCTCTGTGCAAGTATGCTGTAACAGCGCTATCCACACAAATGATGGTGGTTATAATTGTCATTTTCATATTCCACAATAGATTAAGATTTCTTTTCAATGGGCTAGAATGGTCATATCCGGGGACTGACAGACCTCATTTATTAGAGCTAAGTCTGCTCAAACTCTATCCTTCCTTCTTAACGACAGAGAGAAACAGACAGACAGGCAGGCAGACATAGAGAGAAATTGGCGCTCTTTAACTTTTGCACCATACACAAGCGATCTCTACCACTCGCTCCAGACATAGGCGAGCACTCTCTCTCTCTCTCTCTCTCTCTCTCTCTCTCTCTACCACCCACTTCCGTACCTGATACAGGCGTTCTTTAAAACCCACTGACGCCCCAGACACAAGAGCTCTCTCGCTCTGTACCGCTCACAACAGATACAGGCACTCTCTCTCAGTCTATCCAGACTCAGGCTATCTCGCTTTCCTCTCACTCCAGATAAAGGTTCTCGCACTATGTGGCCTTGGACAAAAGCGCTTCCTCTCTCTCTCTCTCTCTCTCTCCCTCTCTCTCTCTCTCTCTCTCTGTCTCTCTCTGAAACCAAACACCCGCTTCAGACATAGGCTCTCTCACTCTCTCTACCACCTACTTCGTCTTCAGACACAGGCATTCTCTCTTTCTGTCACACACTTCAGACATAGGGGCACTCACTCTTTCTGCAACCCGCTCCAGACAACCGGCGCTCTCTGTCAGTCTTTCCAGACATAGGCTCCCTCGCCGTCACTCTCTCTCCAGACACAGTATCTCTCTCTCTCTCTCTATCTCTCTCTCTCTCTCTCTCGTGAATGTTAATTGTTTACTTAGCTCCATTACTACTAATGTTCTTAACACAGACATTCATAATCAATACTGCATCATCTTCACTGCTATTTTAACAATATCGCACCATTAAAATCAACTTACGTAATTTTAACAAGGAGTGTAATCAGCATTAACCATCATAATGTAATGGACGCCATAAAGATGTGGCGGCTATCAGTGCATTTAACATTAATTTCAATGAAACCAACAGGATATCCGGTTGCTCCTTACCCTAATTTCCGGTTGCTTCTCAGATTGCATTTTTAAATTATTTTTGTTTTATTAATTTTTTTATGTTTAATATTCGTTTCGTGTTCTTTTTTTTTCCGAAGACATTTCAATCATTCTTCCTATTTTACGAATAAAAACATTAACAGTATTTTATTCCATTGAAATTTGTTTCCTTAATCATTTTGTTCATTTTAGGCAGCTATGTCATTTATCGGTTATTTCCCGTATGTAAACTGAATATTCTGTAACAATATTAATCTTTGCGGAAGATTTGCCTGAGGTTAATGACTTAAATGTAAAGAAGTAAGATTCAGTTTCCAGTTTGAGTTGCATTTGCTTTAGAATTGTAATGTACTTTACAATGAACAAATGTCAAATATTTACAAAAAAGAAGAAAAAAATCCTGCGATATTTGTGGATACCTCGTCTCTTGTTTACGTGAATCAAGGTAGAGAATTATTGTGTGGTGTTGCATGAGCATAATAAAAGTCAGGTAAGTGCAGTTTATGAGGTTATGTAGGGGAGAGGTCGGTTAAGCCTAAACTTGAAGTGGTCAACATTATAGTGATCGGGAAAAGTTCCCCTGCCCTGGAGTCTCTTCCACAAAGTCGGCTTTGGAAAAACGCTATCGGAATGGAACTGCTTAATGGAACACGAAGGGAATGAAGATTATTCATTCTTGCATACATGGCATCGCAGAGCAAATATCAGTGCAAATATCAGAATATAGTTAGATGCCTTGCCATGGAAATAGCTATAGTGGCCTGAATTATATTCAGCCACCAACACACGAGGGTTGCATGTGGCACAAGGCCGGGTTTAACGTGGGT